TGTTATGTTACAAAATGAACATGTGCAAATACTGACACACCTTACTAGGTGTGCCAGGACGCACAATAGTAGCACTGCTAAATAAGTATCATCACTTTTTATGAGATCTTGACTATAAAATGTTTCTCCTTATTATGTTGGATAGTGATAAAATTTATTTTTTTATGTTTGTGGGCTTAAACTTTAATGAAGGAGAATAATAAGTGGATTAAAGAGGCAAGAAAGGGTGAAAGATGTCAAAAGCATATATATATATGGGTGGAAAGCACATTTTCTTGGGTCTAATTAAAGTTATTCCATTGGCTCATTTTTTGCCTAGCTTACTCAAATCATTTTTTGCCTAGCTTACTCAAATCTTATCATCAAGAACACAAAATAATACAACTCCTATGTCAAAAAATGTTTTTTTTTTTTCCTTTTTTTTTTGTGTCTATAAGGGTGAAAAAAAAAAATCAATCTTGGTTTAGTAATGAACACCAATTTTAATCCACATGTACATGATTGCATGATTTAATCTAACTTTGTCATTTTCCCTCCATTATACATCATAGTTATGTTCTCAAGGCAAAGATTTTCATGTGGGCCACTTTGATCATCTCTTTCTTTTTTTTTTTTTTGTTTCTCAAATTCCTATATATGAGTTTCACTGTTCTATCCATGTTGTGAATTAATACGACGGAAGATTAACATGTCATACACAATGAATGCGTGATTAAGTTTAAACGAGAAGATATATATTATGGCATATTAGTGTGTGGGTAATTGGTTAATTCAATCTTTCACATATTAACTTTTATTTATCCTCACATACACGCACATAGTAAGGGACTGGTTAGTTATAACTTATTTTGAATTTGATTGAATTTATTGGATAAGTCGAGTCGATTTTTTTTTTAAAAAAAGTTGAATTTGATTAAATTTAAATTAAATTTTGAAGATCTAGCAGCTCAATTGAATTAGGCGCAAGAATTAAACATTCATAATGGATAGATTTTTTATTTTTTTGGTATAGGGACCTTTTGGTTTCCGGATTTACAGGGGACCGACTAATTCAGAATCGAGCCGGGTAGAACCACAAGGGCGGCAAATTGGATAGATTTTAATCCAGCGAGAGGACAAAAGGAATTGAAGGATGCGGAGACAAAGAAAAGGATACCTTCATAAATGGCAAACGAAAAAGGGAAAAAAACATGAAAAAAGGATTAAAAAAAATATATATATATATTTGAAAGCAAAGAAAAAGCTAGCGTACGCAGTCCAAAAGAAGAATCACGGCCACAATCACGCTATAAATTTATTGCCGAAAATGCCCTTACAAACGGATCAGGAATTCGTTGACCAAATCTAACGGTTGTCAAATAGGTCTAGTCACTGGTACGCGATTTTATAGTTATAATATCAAATATACTAGCGTACATATATATACGGGCTAATTTAATGAATTGACGGTTCCGAGTCAGAATAGGCCAGCTGCTTTCAAGCCGAGCCAATAAATATTTACGAATAAATAAAAGTTAATTAAAAATTTAAATAATTGCCCAATTATCGGGGCTTGGAGCCGACGGTCCAAATTATGAAAAATCATGAACTTGATCGGCCCAAGTCCGAGTCGAAAATGATTGTTCAAATTATTGTGTGATATTTTTGGTTCTGGTACAACAACAATAAAATCTTTTAGTTCCAAACAAGCCTTTTTCGTTCCGATACAACTGCAATAAAATTCAGAATTACGTAAATTATGTATTTTTGAGTTCATTTATACCGGACTAGTGACCGGTAATTGTATAATCGCCGGTAAGGTCCTATATTTATTAAAACACTGATTTGAACATTGGATCTAATGAATCGTCTTACAACATAATTATTTTTTTTTTTGGTGCAAAAGAAGGAAGCCTAAGGCCTAATAACTAGCTAATACTCGACGAGGATAAGACACTCCTCTCGAGTCGTGATCAATCCAGGCTCCAACCCCCGGGGGGGTGACGAAAACCGATGTATCCCCAACGGGGTTGTCTGCGCGATCCCCGCCAAATAATCCGCTGCGCATCCGTTTTCTTGCTAGTTGCTGCATAGTTCGCCTCACGGTACACATGTTGGATACGTACCTGCCACTCCCTTTGGACCAGTTCTCTAACCGCACAACTAAACCATCATACACCCCGAAGTGCTGTCCCGATCCAGTGAGCATATTGGTCACGCATTGGCTGTCGGTTTCCGCTACAACTTTACGGGCCCCTCGGTCCCAAGCCATCTGGAGACCTTGAAGCACCCCCCAAAGCTCGGCTCCTGTAATGGTGTTGAAGCCGATATTCATACTGAAACCCTCCATCCACTTTCCTCGCTCGTCCCTCATGATACCTCCCGCACCGCTTAGGCCCGTAGTGCTGTTAAATGTTCCATCTGTATTGACTTTTACCTGCCCCGGTCCGGTGGTCTTGCAACATAATTATTGACATAATACACACACGACAAGATCTTACACATCACCTTTAACTTAAGATCAAAGGAAGGATCTAATACATGAGAGGGGCATTATTGTCCAAACAACCCAAAATATTTGAAAAAGAAAAGAAAAAAAGAAGAAAAGCCCATAAGCTTGAAAACGAGCTCGCTCTACCTCCCCCAAATCTTCTCTGCACTTTATTTTCTCTCTCTCCTCCATCTCCCACCACCCATCCATGGCGGACCCAGTTTCCCGCTCGCCGGAGCTCCGAGCACCTCCTCCGACGCCCGACCCGGCTAACGACCCGAGCAATTTCTACCGCCAATTTCTGCGCAGATCTGCCCTCGTAACCGTCCTCCTCGCCCTCCTCCCGATTTTCCCCTCAATTGCCCCCCAATTTGTCAATCAAACCCTACACGCCAGAAGCTGGGAGCTCCTCCAGCTCGTCTTCGTCGGAATCGCCGTCTCCTACGGCCTTTTCAGCCGGAAAAACGACCAGACGGAAAAGGACCACGGCGGCGGCGGCGGCCCAAAGCCCGAAAGCGCTCACTCTTACGTCAGCAAGCTGCTCCAGTTCTCCTCTGTCTTCGACGACGAGCCCGAAAGCCCGCAGGCTGTGATTCACGAAGAGAGTAAGGTCCAAACTTTAAATTCTCAGTACTTTAGAGGTGAGCCTGTGGTTATGGTGGCCGAGCAGATACAGAGCAACCCTGTTGTTCGAAAAGAGAATGGGTTTTGCGAAATCACACATAATAAACCTCTGCTTTTGCCCATTCGGAGCCTCAAACAGCTAGTGCCCGAGTCGGGTGAGGTTGACTCAGGTGAGCAGCAGGGTCAAAAATCTGACCCGATTAACGATAGTATTTCGAGGTTGACCGGAGATTCTGGAAAATCGAGGAATGTGGAGGTTTCGGGTTCGAGTCCTCCGAAGGTGGATGATGATTTAGTGGTTCTTCGGTCGCCAATTCCATGGCGGTCGAGATCCGGAAGGATGATGAAAACGGACGAAAACGAGGATATGAAGTCAAACTCGATTGATGACTCGACATTTAATCCAAATTTGTCGTCTCGTAAAATACCAACCCAATCGACATCTTTTCCATCCAAATCCCAACCCAAAAGTTCCGCGTACTCGCCTCCACCGACCCCACCTCCACCACCGCCACCACATTTCGTGCGGAAATCGATGCTTCTAAAGTCGAGCTCGAGTTTCACGACAAATAATTCGACCCCTCTTGAGAAGGCATTGAGGCGGAGCACGAAAAGTGTCCCGATAGCTGAATTGGGTAAAAGCAAGACGAAGCAACTCCCGAGAAGAATGACAAACAATAACGCGGCCAAATTTGTGGGTCACACCACAGAGTTTTCCGAGAAAAATGGATATTCGGGCAAAGGGTTACCGAATAGGAACTCGGTCGAGAAGGATGTGATGGAAACTAGCAATGATGATGACTCGGAGGATCGTGATGATGACGATGATGATTACTTTGGAGGGATTAGTGGTTCGGGTGGAGATGTAACTAATAGTAGTAGCATTGTCAATAACAATGATATTAGTAATAATGGTGATTTGGGGCCCGACGTGGACAAGAAGGCAGACGAATTCATTGCTAAGTTCCGAGAGCAGATAAGGCTGCAGAGAATCGAGTCGATTAGAAAGTCGGCCGCGCAGCGTGGCGCGAAAACTTGTGGTGCCCGTTAAGGCGTGTTTTCTTAGCATTGTATGTTACACTATACTTTTTTCTTAATTTGTCTTGTTGTTTTCGAATTGAAAGATGGTGCGATATACTAGGTTAGATGCGGCGATGTACTTATTGTCAAGTAGAGTCGCAAAACGGATAACAACCGATTTGTCATTTTATTATGACGTGTGCCGTGGAATGGGTTTCTAACTAGGAACCCTCGGGCTTTCGTAGGTTGAGTTACTAACAATAAAATGTCACAATTGAGCAAGTTATGAGATTTGTGTTTCTTGGATATAACTTGGATGTGTTTTAGTTATGAGATATGCGTTTCTTGGATGTAACTTGGATCTGTTTTAGTTGAAAACTATAACTTGGATCTGTTTTAGTTATGTTTTCAGTGTGTTCTTGTGCCAAGTTTGTCATATGAGTGTAACAAACTTCTATAGTTTTATGTAAGATCCTAAATTAGTTGTAGTTGGATATTGAGATACTTCGAATTCGAGTATTTCTTGACCCGAGCTAAACGAGTTGATAAACATGTTCGAGTTCGGCCAGTCTATTTATCGATATTAAAAGGCTCAAGTTGAGCCTTACCAAACTCGAACTATAGAAAATTACATAAAAAAAAAAAAAAAATCTATTTTCGAGTCTAAACGAGCTGAGACAAGTTCAAGTTCACGAGTAGCTGGCTTTGTTTAACACCTCTAGTTACCACCATGTATTTCTTGTAAATTTCATCATACTTTTTCCCTATGGGTTTTTCACACACGTATATCCAAACCTTCAAAATGTCAAGGCAATGCATACTTATTACACATACGCACCAACTCAAATCAACTTTTTAAACACACATCTCCACAAAAATCAAGAAATCAAGATCCAGCGCGCTGGAAGCGAGCCGGGCCCCACGGACGAGCGCCAAAGGGCACGACAGTCCGTGGTGGGCCCACAGTCCGATTGCACGAGGGGCACACGGTAAGTGTGGTGGGGGACAAGGACAACTGCATGTACATTTGTGGAGAAAACTTTAAGGCCCTCAACTGTTGGACCTCCTTCTCGAGCCTCCGGTTTTGGTCGGTCAGCGTTTCGAAGCATCTCTTGAGGTACTCACAGTCGACCTCCGTTTGCTTTAGCTTCGTCCGAGCCCTCCGGTTTTGGAACCACACCTCCACTTGCCGTGCCCTTAGCCCAAGCCTCTTTGCTAGGCTCGTCTTTTGCTTCTGAAATTAGTCCCCATTTTTTTAGGACTATAAAAGTATATTTGGGGCATGTAACAAAATTTCATTTTTTCCATACATATATAGCTATATATTATATACATATAACTTACGGGATTGAGGGTATTGTGGTCTTTAAAGGTTTGTTCGAGGACGGCTGCCTGATCTTTAGACAGCCTCAGCTTCTTATTACTACCACTTTTGTTCCGACAAACAGTGTCGTCTGTGTCATCTTCGTCCTCGTCACTGGTGCCACGTGAGCAAGCCCTGTCCACGTCACCGTACGCCTCACCGCTGCTCCTCTTCCCGCTCGAACTCGAGATCGTGCTGTTTGGAGAGCACGCGCCGCCCTTCACAACCTGCCCACCAGCTGCAAGCGGTGCCCAAAATCACATAAAATTAAATCCCATTTATTCACAAATCTCACCAAATAATTCACGAAAATTTAAAAATAAAAATGATAAAATGAAAAAAAAAAAGAAAAAAAGATTTTGAATTAGAGATAGACCTAAAAAAGATGAAGATTTATTATTATTATTATTATTATTATTATTATTATTATTATTATTATTATTATTATTATTATTATTATTAGGGAAGCTCAAACTCAAGCTCAAACTCAGGTCTTCTTTTTCCACCACCATTTTCTCTCATTAAAAAT